ATGTGGTTTTCAGATAGAGGATCAGCCACGTTCATGTAAAATGGTAGAGGAGGCTTGAAAGGCTGAGTTGCGTGTTCTGCTATTAGTTTCCGCATTTCTACCTTTCTAAACTGAAAATGACCCATATATGCCAACTTTTTGTTTCATGTTACCTAACCAATCCTTTACAAATGCTCATCTGTTACTTTCTAAACCAATAGCTCTTACTTTGTGTGGTAACCTTTGATGTGGCATCTTGTACTTGGACTTCTAGAAGGGATTTGACACCACATTACTGGGTTCCTTTTTATACATATTGCTTGTTGCTTCCTTAGCAAACTTCAATACGTTAGTAAAACATTATTTCTCTTTCACAGAACCATGTTGGCTCTGCCTAATTGCATTGAGATTTTACAAGTGTCTGCTATAAGCTTCTTAATAATAGATTCCAGCATTTTTTTTTGTAACAGATGTTAATATAACTGCCTTGTGGTTTCCTTTCTATCGTCTTCCTTTTTTGAATAGAGAAGTTGCAAACTTTTTTTTTCTCTGTAATTTGGTGGGATGTTTCCAGAATTTAGGATATTTTGGAAAATTAAAACCAATGCATTAACTATCTCAGCAGTCCTTCTTTTAAAAGCTTAAGGTAAAATCCAGTAGAACTTGGGGACTTGTCACCCTAGGCTTCTAATAATTTTCTGAGTACCCTTTCCTGATGATTATATTTGGATCAAACTATTCCCCTCTTTTACTTGATTTAAAATTATTCTGTGTAATTAGTTGTATCCTCCTACAGCACAGTTAGATGAAAAATATCTATTCAATTCATCCACCATTTTCTTATTCCTCATTATAAAGAGGAATTGATAGAATTTAAGCATGTGAAGTTTAATTATGATTTTATTGAATGGCACAGATGATTCAATGAATAGTATGACCTACTTCTGCACTTATTGCCTATATTCTTCAATGCTCTAAAGTTGAAAGGACACAAGTATTGTCTGATTTTTCAACTGTAACTTCCACAGAGAAATGGCCCTAATCACAATTTACATGATTTCGCTGAACTTCTGAATTCCTGCTCAACCTGAATGTACTGTGCACTAAGTGACAAATTGAAAACATACCTTAATGTTAGCAGCTTCCTTTAAGGTTTCAAATTAGACAATGAAAAACTCTGACCTTGTACCATTTAATAAGTGTTAACTCCCCTATTTACCATGAAGCCTACCTCCAGTTTTGGACTGTCCTGTTGAGCACTTGCAAGTGAGCAGCTGCAACTTTGACAGCCAAACACATTTGTTTGGAAGGGGCTGAGTTGTAGGATCTTTAATGTGACTTTGCCTCACTTGATTTCTCAATGTTTATTTCATATCCAAAAACTGATCTGGGGTGACAACCAATTTCTCATTCACATTTTATCTGTTACTAGCACATCTGCTGCGTCTTCACCTTTTCCTATTGAGAATGATGAAAGTTTGCAATAAAATTTTTACAGCTTCTTTGTCAGCATTCAAAATATCACTGCAGAGCTTCCTGCTGGCCTTTACCGACTTATTCTGCAACCAATTTGTTAATGTAGAGAAAAGGTTAATGAAAACATAGCAATCATGTTGGCAGTAAAATTCTTTGTTGGCATTTCCTGCCAAACTCATTGAGCTTCTGACCTTGCAAGCATTATTTTTTAAGCTTGTCGTCAAGTATGTCCCTACCATTCCATCTTCTCAAACTGAGATTGTTATATAGAGGTTACGTGGAAATTATGGACTTTACTGGTACTGCTTGCTGATTACTTCTTTTGTTGAGGTTAATTTCAGAAACCAAAAAAAACCCTGCCTGGAATTGGTTCAACCTCCTAATGGCAGATATAAACAAGACGCTACTGTACCAAGCAATCAATATTCAGTCCATTAAGTGTGGATGTTCTCCAGTTGTAAAATGCCACACCTTGCTTACAGATTGCCATTTCTCGAAGTCTCCCCTCGGATGCAACTATTATCCTTGCTTCTTCAGCTATTAGTTTATATAGCAGCAGTAGCACAACAGCTGGGCACAAAGCATACTAATTTGACACAGACCTTTTGCTGCCCAGGTCACAATACAGAGGCAGGAAAATTCTTGGGTCCACAAAGCTAGGTCAGGAGAAAGTTCACCAATTGGTATAATTTTTGTTGCTGGGCCTAGAATGGTCTTGATGGAAGCTGGGTGTACCATTCCCAGGAAGGATCACGAACACCTCTTTCCCTGGTATTATCAGACTTTTGAATGGACCTCTCAAATGTTAATTTTGATCTCTGTCTGCACCCTCTCTGTCAGTCTAACACTGTATTCTGCACTCTGTTCTGCTACCCGGATGCACTTTGTATGGTTGGATCTGTCTGTATGGCTCGCAAATCAATACTTTTCACTGTATCTTGGTACACGTGATAACAATAAATCAATCAAGAATTCACATGTAGTCACAGGATAGCATGTGCCAAGACAAGCTAACTGAAAGGCAGCCTCAGACTTCCAATACTTTGTTCACAAAACCCTGAACCCTCCCATGTCAACCACATGCACTCACCGTGCTCTATCTTTGCATATACACATCACCTTATGCCCGTACTCACTGCCATGGCTCATCTTACCAATTGTGCCAGACTTTGCTGTCTACATCTAATGGCCCTTCATATCCTCCTTTGATGGCATCTCATGCCTTTCGTGCCAGTCTATTCCCCCTCCACTCACTCCTCAGCCTTCTGTAACATTTATCCAAACTTAGTTATAACCCATGTTTATCAATGCTCCCCTCCCACCACCCTTTGCATATACAATTGCTTGCCAAGTCACTCAGTAGCCAAGTTCCCATTGTAGACTGTTGAATTGAAAATGTAAAAATACCCTCATTGTTAAAACCTGTTCATGATATTTAGCTTCCTTCAACTACTTAATTCCTTACAAAAACATGCATTTGTATTCATTGTGTCACTTAAAAGGCTTTATAATCACTGGGAGCTATCACTGAAACTGTGAACTGGCAGGAACCTCACTATGATAGGTTGTGAAATCACTTGTGCAGCAGAAATCCCATGATGATAACTCTTAAGCTGATGTCAACAGTCAGTGAAATGGTAAACAGTTTCTTAGCACTCCAGTTTGTTTTCAAAGTGTAAAACCTTCAAGTTGTGTGTTGGACTTGCCACCGGTGAAAATTGGATCAATTCTTCATGAATCATGGATGTGGAAAATACAACCTTCCCCATTCCCCAACCCCTTCTCCGCCTCAAGTAAATGGTAAGTGCCAGGCTCAGGGTGTCACTTCCAGAATCAGGGCTCCAGTGCCATTTTGGCTTAGCCTCAGACCTTCTCTGTCTTTCAACAAATTCAGGCCTCAATAATTTACATGTTTAAAAGTTGCAAGGCATGCTTATTTCCAAACATTTCAAAATATTGGAAACTTTTAATGTTAACCTCATTATTATTGTTTCCTGGCTTATCTGTTTTTTGCTTTTTAAGAGGCTATACAAAATTTTGTTAACTGAAATATTAATATGGAGTGAAGTGTCAGTCACTTTCAGATTAGCTCTCAATGTAATTCCATAACTGGCACAAATTGTGTTTTATGATGTTTTTTGATATCATATACAGTAGTTAAATTTCATTTTCAACTTCCTGTCAAGAATAATATAATAATCTAAATATCTAAACAGAACTTAGTGTATTCTGCAATTAATATAATATGAAGTACCATTCCAAACATTTATTTAAGGATAATTAATAAGCATTCTGGGGTTTGCTGTCCTGATAAATATATGGCAAGACAACAGAAAAATCTTTAGTGCTTCATCTTAATTTTTGCTGAAGAAAGCACCCTGTATTTACCGTACATCTTAAATTTAAGATGACTGATGCCTAGATTTGTTTGTTAAGCTGTCTTAAATCATATTACTCAGAAAATGAAAGTTCATGTCATCAATCCTCAAACAGGATACCTACAAGATACTTAGAGCGTGAATTAACCTTTTTCTTGCCAAATTACTAGATTTGAAGTCAGACGCAAAGCATACATTAAAGATCAATTAGTAATTTCATAATCAAAAGATCACTATAGTGATAAATCCACTTCTGCCACCATGTAGTATCTTCTACAGCTATCTATATGCAATGAGATATGGATTGAATTTAATCCAGGATCTGTGGTCGGTATATGCACTCCTAAACTAGTATAGACATTGCTGAGTGATTTTTGGATACGGCCTCTGTCTGAGGTGATTATAATGCAGAATGTCTGTGGCTTGCAGTCATATCTGACACCAGGTATAGCCTCATTTACATGTTGGGTTTCTTAAAGGGATATACCTCTTAAAGCAATAGCATTACTCTCTGCACCAAATCATTAAGTATATAATAATTAGTGTATCCAAATAGTTGCACACAGGTTCCATTAGCAAAAAGAAAATAATTAATAGATGGTATTAATTAACAGTAACACTATTGAGGCTTGAAAATATTTTTGACTGGAGCCCTTTTCGGGGACACTATCTTTTCTCATCTTGGCCATATTGGAGGCAAGAGAAAACAAGACAAGAAAGGTGCTTTTATTTAAAGTTTCCTTTAGTTCTGTAGAAGAACTTTAAACCACCTTTGCTTTGGTCTACTCTCCATCTGTTATCCCTTTCCCACAAATGTAGCTGACTTACCAGAAAGTGTTCCTTCAGGTCCCACGTGGCTTTCTTCTGTCGCCTGAAATCCTGCTTTGGTTAATGGATGGATAGTGCTTTCCATGGAGTTTGTCTGGGTGACTAACTTGTGTTTATAAATCCTATGCTGTGGCTTCAAATACTCAACGCATTCAACAGGGAAAACAACCCTCAGTCTTTCTAACAGGAATAGTGAGTATTTTGAAGGTGGTAACCTGTGAAATATTTGTTTGTAAAGTTTGAAGCCTTATGGTACCTTAAAATCACAATGATCTTTTGTTTGATTACTGAACAAAATACTTAGAGGAAATTATTTATTTTATGTGTATTTTTCTGCAGCATTTCAATTGGGATCAGTTATGTCTTGGCTGGTAGTGAAGCTTTTGCTGAGCTGTTGCAAATCAGGTGAGTGAAGGGAGATTTATACACAAATCAAATGCACATTTAATAACAAAAATAAAACTAATAACTACAGATGCTGGAAATCTAAACAAAAAAACCCAGGAATTGTTAGAAAAACTCAGGTCTGGTGAGCCAGGGAGAAAATACAGCTGATAATACGGACTGTAAACAGGTAAAAATGGGTTGGCTGTGCTGAAAGCAGCCCGTGTCATGACAGGAACTCGGGTGTGGAGGTGGATAAAGGACACAGAGGAAGATGTTCAGTTTCTAAAAATGTTGAATAAAAACTGAAAGAAGTGCTGTACATCAGGAACAAAAACAAAGTTGCTGCAAAAGCTCAGCAGGTCTGGCAGCATCTGTGAAGGAAAAACTCAGAGTTAACGTTTTGGGTCTGGTGACCCTTCCTCAGAACTGTTGTTGAACTCGATACAGTCCTGAAAGCTGTAGGGTCCCCAAGTAGAAAATGAGAAACCTTAGCCAACATTTCTGTCTCGGGGCCTGTTGTAGTTTTCCAGTGAAGCTCTGAGCAAGCTGGAAGAACAACATCTCACTTTCCACTTGGGGACCCTGCAGCTTTCAGGACTCTATCCACCTAGCCTGCACATCGCTGGACACTATGGGCAATTTAGCATGGCCAATCCACCTTTCCTGCAAATCTTTGGACTACAGGAGAGAACCGGAACAAACCCATGCAAACACAGGGAGAATGTGAAAATTCCACCCAGGCAGTCACCCGGGGGTGGAATCGAACCCGGGTCCCTGGTGCCGTGAGGGAGCTAACCACTGAGCCACTAAACTGATATTATTCAGGTCTTGCTGCATAAAACTGAGCTGCTTCAGTATCTGAGGAGTTGTAAATGGTGCTGAACATTGTGCAGTCATCAGCAAACATCCCCACTTCTGACCTCGTGATGGAAGGAAGGTCATTGATGAAGCAACTGAAGATGTTTGGGCCTGGGACAGTACCATGATAGACTCCTACAGAGATATCCTGGAAATTAGATTGTTGATCTCCAGCAATCAGAACAGAATCACTATGTCCCATTATGTCTCCAACCAAATGAGAATACTTTTTCTCCTGGGATTCCCATTGGTTCCAATTTTGCTAGGGCTCCGAAATATCATATGCAGTCAAATACTGCCTTTATGCCAAGGGCAGTTAGCCTCACCTCTGGAGTTCAGCTCTTTTAGCAGTTGTTTGGACTATGACTGTAATGAGGTCAAGAGATGAGTATCTCTGGTATAACCCAAACTGAGCATCACTCATCAGGTCATTGTTAATGGAGTGCCACTTGATATAATTATTAATGACTCCTTTCATCACTTTGCTGATGACGGAGAATACTCTGATAAAGCAGTGATTGACCAGGTTGGATTTCTCCTGTGTTTTGTGCACAAGACATACCTGGGCAAGTTTCCACATTGGACAACAGGAGAAGCTAAGATGGATCTACCACTTGGCACTTCTGGGTCATGATAGTTGCAAATGCATCAGCTTTGTCCTTTACATTAATGTGCTGGGCTCCACCACTGTTGCAAATAGGGATAATCTGGAGTCTCCTCCTCCTGCACATTGTTTAATGCCCAACACCATTCATAAGTGAACTGGACAGGACAGCAGACCTTAGATTTAATCTATTGCTTGTGGGCTTAGTTAACTTTGTCTATTTCATGCTGCGCCTGTTGTTTGGCATGCAATAAGTCCTGTGTTGTTGACACCTCATTTCAACGTAGGCTGATGCTGCTCCTGGCATTCCATCCTGCACTCATCATTAAACCGGGGCTGATCTCTCATCTCATGCCTAATGCTAATGGAAGCATGGGAGATGTTGGACCATCAAGTTGCAGATTGTTGTTGAATACAATTCTCATCTGCTGAAGGCTCACAATGTCTTGTGGAATTTAAATGAATGAGAGGTGACTGTATTGAAATATAAAAGATTTTGAGGGGACTTGACAGGATGGATGCTAAAAGGACTTTCTCCCTTGTGGGAGAGACTATAGTGTGGAGGTACAGTTTATAAATATGAGATCTCACATTAAAGATGGAGATGAGGAGAAAGTTTTAACTTTTGGAAAGTCATGAGTCTCTGGAGTTCTCTTCCCCAGAGAGCAGTGAAACTGAGTCATCGAATATTTTAAAAACAAAAATAGATTCTTGACTAACAAAAAAGTCAAATGGTTTGGGGGTATGAGACCATTCAGCCATGATCTCATCAAATGGCAGAACAAGGTCAAGGGATGCAAAAACAGAAGTTGCTGGAAAAGCTCAAAAGGCCTGGCAGAATCTGTGAAGAAAAAAAATCAGAGTTAACGTTTCGGGACCCTTCCTCAGAAATCAATTCTGGTTTTGTTCCTGATTTACAGCGTCCGCAGTTCTTTCAGTTTTTATTAAGCTCAAGGGATGGCTTACTCTTACTCCTAATTAGAATGTTTGCTTGCAGTGTCTGGAATTGGCAAGTGTACCTCTGTTTCTTACTCCATGTTACATTGAGGAAAAACTCAAAGTTTGTTTATTACCTTTTTGTATATTTTAAGAAAATTTCTGAAGTGGACTTTGAATTAAAATGAGATTAGGGGTATGAATGGGGGAGGGAAATAATCAAAAGCTGGTGAAATTTGTCGCCTGGATAACTTCATTGGGTTCTTAGACACGTTTAATTCTTGCTTTCAATTCTCGTACTCGACAAAGTGCTAAAGGTACTTAGTGAGGTAAATTATCCTGAATCCTATTACTAATTATGCTATCACCTGTGAATATGTGCTATTAGCAGTATAATTAAGCAAGCTTAATCAAATAAAAATGAATTGTCTTACTTCATGCCTAAAGGTAACATTAAATTTAATATACATACACTGCAGTTCAAAAACAGTAGGAACCAATCTGCCACTGTGAGAACATTTTAAACTGTCATCTGCCAGTTTTGTAACTAAGAAATGTGGTCACCAGTTGACATTTGAGTGGGAATGCGGCACTTCTGTCATCTCATTTATGCTCAAGTTTCCCTGCTAATAGTTAGAATGCTTAAATTTGCAAATCAGAGTCTCATGTCTGTGGTGGGACTCGGTTTGTAATTTTCAGATTCAAAAGTACCAGCTGTTGATTGACCTGAATGGATGATATCTGAAGGAACCATGAGTAGTCACATGTCAAGGGAAGTTTAACTTTCTTTTGTGGACCGGGAAGAACGGAACTACTTTTCCTGATTTCATGTAAACATGTGCAAGGACATTCTTTGGGATTGTCTAGTGTCCATTCTAGACTTGACCTGTTGATTGGTTCAGCGTTGTAGGTCTGCAACAACTGGCAAGTTGCATTAAGGAGCCCAGTCTGCCATCTCAGTTCACTGATAACGTTTAGCAGAAATGAAGTGGAAGTGGTTTGGGGAACCTCCAGTGCTGGCAAAGCCATTCTACCAATTTCATACTGACTTTAGATGGAAGTCAAAAAGTGGCCCCACTAATTCTTTCATTATAGAGAGTACACAAATATGGAATATAGAGCCTCTAGTCTTTTATTAGGAATTTAAACCCCTTTGTGAAATTTTAAGAAACACAGTACATTATTCTCTGTGGATAAGGTTGGATTTATTTTAAAAATTTTGCTATGTGGTCAGTTAAAACTGAGCAGAAATTCAATGTGCTATTGATGTTCTTATAAGCACCAAAATTTCAGCCAGTTAACTTATGTGAATATTAAACATAACCAGGAGTTAGCCTGTTCAAACATATTGGAATAGGGTTTTGTTTTTACAGCCTGAAAGTTAAACATCACCTTAATGAAGCACACAGAGAAAAGGGAGGATTGCATACTCCTTGCAGAACTTGCTGAATTTTCCTTTAATTTCAATGCAAAAAAATCATACTCTGGTGTGATCCTCCCTATCAGATTTTTCCTTCAGCATTCCACCCACATAATGCAGATAAACAATAATCTATCCCATTCCATACAGTTGTGCCATGGGATGTTTTCTCTAGGAATAGATCTTTAAGGGCACATCGACAAGCTGAATTTTTGATCAGACTTGTGATGTAGGTGCTGAATTGCAATTACTTGCACATCTAAAGGACTTTGAAACAACTCAAAGTGACAAGATTCACGGAGTGCCCTTACTTCCTCTAGTTGATGCGCTTTATGGTTTCTGAGAATAGAGGACAGAAAGAGGCATAGCTTTGCAGTAATGTTACAGCCCAACTAACAATGACTTGTGATTGAACAAAAAAGCTGTCGATTGTTACTTGAGTTGTGCTCCTTTCTAAATATGAAAACACTTTTTTATTATTTGTGATCTGTTCAAAAGGTTTTAAATAAGGAGGTGGCTTGGGAGGTTTCCAAATATGTTAAGACCTCAGTATGTACCCAGCATTCTAAATACTTGTGTCGTCCTTGCCCTGTGATATCACCCTATTCAATTTGTATCTGCATTGCAGAAATTTCTGGTTTTTATATTTTATATATCTGGTTTATATATTTTATCTGGTTTTTGTACCTGGATTTCTGTCCTGCATCACCGTTGATGAAACACCGCTGTCATGGTAATTCACCCATCTACTATCATCATTTTAACCATACTGTAGAAATCACTGCAGATAAAATGTAAAAATACATTTTCTCCGTAGACTGAAAAGATTCCTTTCTGCTTCTTGCAATAACATGGAGGTATATTTCTGCAAGGCGCTGTTATAAATTCATGGATAGGCCAGTGATCAACATGTAACAATATAGTCTGTGTAAGCCTGGCTTCATTTTGGATCTGTAGTGACTGGCTATGCAGCTCAGTGGTTATTTAAATGCCTTTTTAACCATTGATCTTAATGTATATTCTGTTTGACATCAGTTTACATTCATTTTTAAACTATTGCATGTTAAGTTCATGCACGCTTCAGTTTTTTCCAAAAAAAAGTAATGTGACAGTTTGAACAGAAAATTTAATTTTTCTTTTACATGTTCGTGTTTATGGTGAAGCTGGTAACCAGAAGTTCTTATTGTAACCTTTCCAGGT